TTCTCAATTCGCTTCATCAAGTGGGTGATGTATCTGAAAGGAATAGCTTCAATGCAAAAAAATCAATCATTAACTTAAGTCGTAACTATCAGCTGTCCCTAAGCTCAGCAAGGCTTATTTTTTGGAAAGGGGATTTCCATGGAAGATTTATGAGAAAACAATGCGGGTAAAAGCTATTCGGGCTAATAAAACATATTTTAGCAGATTTATATCCCTCGAAAACAGAAGAATCAGCGGGATTGATCTGTCACTTGATTAAAAAAACATATCTTTTGGACAATGTACCCAACGACAGTATAGCCCAAAATAAAATGTAAACGCGCTATTCATACCGAACATGGTCTCTCTTGGAAACTTCAGCGTATAAAGTTACTAGTGAGCCAGCAATTGAAGGTCCTAGATTTGCATCCCGCGCTTCGGGACCGTTCCCCGCTACTTACTGATTTTTGAATTGGCGTTACGATTCGTTATATATTAGATTAGATTAGATAGATTAGATTAGATTCCAAAAGAGAAGACAGCAACAAAAAAAATGCATTCCAATGGTTGGCTTTCTTTAACCTAATGACTGACTTCCTCACTCCATTACTCCTGTTTCGACAATAATGAGTTTATAAATAACACAAATAGTCAAAACAAAAATTCAAAAACAGCAATTACCAACCCGGCGATCTTATTCCTCAACTGCTTGCTTCCGATGATGGCAACTTCGTCACAGATACGCTTGTTGGTGTGGAAATCATGAGTGATCTTCGTGTAATACTTCTCGATGATGACTCGCGACGCCTTCTTGACGGTCTTGGTACGAACTCGACTCATTCTGGATTTGCCAAGTCTACAAACACTCAAGGGATATCGAAGTTGATGCGAGCGAAATCAACGATTATCAACACAATGTAAGCAAAGACATTTGATACGTTACTGGGTGTTCAGAGTACTGATAACAGTTATACGAACTCGTTATGATGGAAATGTGAAGATTCAAAACACACGCTAGAGTAAAAAACATGAATACAACATTAATAATTGCCAATTAACGAATCAGCTTCAATGACGGTATAAATAAAACAAGGTGTAGTCACAAAAAAACCTCTAACCCATCTTCCGGTGGAAGATACAGATCATACTCATTTCCGATGCTTTAAGCACACATGAAAAAGCAAAGAACCAATTTCAACAAGAAAGAGAGCGCTAGTTCAACAATTTTAGAGATGCAATTTTCCTTTTCAACTAAATCTCAGCTGACAAATCTTTAGGACTCTAATAATAAAAGCGATGAAAATCAGTCCAGAGGAGTACTGTAGTTTTCAACCTCCGCACGGCTCTCTGTGCGCGACCTCGTCTCTA